ACTCTAATTCTAATGACATCTTTGATATCCTTGGGATCTTCAATGGCGTCGATTTTGATCAGTTCCACTGTTGCCTCCTCTCCTTGTTCTTCGCAAGCAAGATCCTATTCCGAAACATCTTCATCTTCATCTTGAACTTTATCATAGATCAGATCTCCAAAAAGATCTTGTTGTTTATTTGAGCATGTATCGAAGATTGGTTGCAAATCCCAATCTACAGCTTGTTGATTTTGGATACAACCTGTGTCCAAATTAGGAACATTCACCTTCAAATCGGAAACCTTAGAGTGATGTCACCCATTTTTATGTCTTCCATCACTTTTCTCTTCGATCGATTCCCTCGCATGGAGCTCCGTGGTGAAAAGGGTCATACTTTACACGTTATTGGGTAGAAAGATAACTATCTTGCCCATGAGTTATGGCCCGCAAGTTGTTGTACAATCTGTTGAATTGGCCTCTTGAGATCTTCAATTTCTTCATCTTTGACATCACGGGGTAATTCTATGAGAGCCCCCCTTCCACGACTCCTTCTTGCTGCCGTAGGTTCATCGAATTCATAAACCCTAGGCAAAAAATCATCAATTCTTAGATGAAATCAGCAAATTCTAGGCGGGAATTAACAAATCCTGGGTGGAATAAGTAAATTCTTGGTTGAACTTAGCAAACCCTGGCCAAAATTAAGTAAACCCTAGACATAACTGGAGATTTCTGCCCTTCGCAAGAATCCGATACTATGATACCGATTGTAAGGATTTGAGAAATAAACCAGAAAATAATCAAAATACAACAAAGTACAACCACAAGTTGTAGAAAAGCTGGGTTTCCTTTGCAAAATCCCTAACTAGGTTTCTAAACAGGTCCTAAAATCGTAAAAATATAAAGAAACCAACAATCCCTAAAAAAAACTTAAAAACCCTGAAATTTGAAAAATATTTTTCTCAAATTTAATTAAAAAAATAAAAAATAAGAGGCACCATGTCCTACATCAATACTTATGTGTTTTTATTCAATAATATCAGTTATCCGAGAGTATAAGTATATGGTTTGATCCCGTGGGAGTTCACGTCACTCTCTCTTCTCTTGCTTTCCCATTCCTTTTGCACTGAAACTAAAGTTTGGCATATAATTAAAATTTAATCCTTTGTATCGACACATGGAGGAATAATAAAGCTTAGTTTTGTCTTTCCTTTTTATTAGAAATCACCAAATCTTTGTGCAAAAATGAATTTTGTATAAAATATCCTGCTAATTTCTTAATTTCTTGAAAAGGTTCACTTATCAAAAATAAATTTGAAATTTTATATTGAAATAAAAATCAATTTCAAATGAATTTTAAATTACATGTTATTTTCTAATATTTGTTTTAAAAGATGTACATTGATATTAAAGGTTAAATTTTTGAAAATATAAAAATTAATAATTTCATTTTATGAGAATAATTTTAAAAGGTAAAATTCTCAAAAAGTTAAAAATAAATTTAAGTGAGTTCCAACAATAATAAATTATAATTATAATTAAGAAATATCTTTAATTAATAAGAGAAATAAAATATAAATTAGAAATCATAAAAGCAATAGGTAGGGTCGTTCATATTTTTTATTATCTACCCAGCACTTTAGGTGGTTATGTTAGTATTGGCACCCATGTTGCTTAAATCTGAAGCAATAAACAGAAAATTCATTGGCCAAATTGTTAAACTTTTAAAATTAATTAAACATTTGTAATTATAAATATCCACTTTATAGATGTGATCCTCCATTATAATGGTAATGAAAATTTGAATCTAATAAAGTTCGTAGTTAGGATTTTGATGTCAAATTTGGGCATTACTATTATTTTCAAATTTCAATTACATGAAAATGGTCAAAATCAAATGGAAATTATAAATTTTACTGTATAGAAATAAAATTAGTCATTATTGCTATTATAGTTTTGAATTTCAAATTTTTACTCAATAGGTGAGATACAATAAACTTTATAATTTAGTATTAATAAAAATTCTAGCTTGACCTTGGTTAAAAAAAAAAATCGTAACTTTATAAAGTTAATGAAATTATATAATTGTAATCGTACTTTTTTAAACCATTTTAGTTATGCAAACTTCTTATATTTAAATAACATTATTAACATCATTCTTTATGAGTTAAAAAGATTTCCAGTTTCTGTTATGAAAGGTTGTGATATTTATCTATCTATCTCACATATGTTAAACCATAATGCACGGGTTGGTTAGATGGAATTAGTATGGATGCGATACTTAATGAACTAGAGGAGATTTGGGTAGCTACCTCCCATTTATGAAGGGGTCAGAAAGATGAATTTCCAATCTAAAAATCCAAAATCATAGACATTGAGTTTGTCACAAAATTGGATGGTATCTAAATCAATCTTTGGATGTTTTTTTTTCCAAGCACATATAGAGTGTTTATGATTCTTTTTTCTCGGGATTGATTGGTCCTAAAATTACTCTTACATACGGTTTTACGCGATGCTAACCTCATGATCATGAAATTTGTGATGACCATATGGGCTATGAAAAATGACTTGTGGGATCTGTGTAGTGTTAAAGATATTTAAAGAGATCCAAAAGATGGAAATCCGTACCATATGGTTATATCGCTCATAAGACTTAGTATAATTAATTTTAAACAATATTATAGATAAAACATTATATGAGCCAGGTGATCATAGTCACAAACGTGATCATGCAGTCAATGGGTTGGACAATGATGGCGGTAGTGGTTTTCAATATATATTCAATTGATTTGAGTGTTACATCCCTGCTCTGCCACCATCGCTGTATTATAACTTCATCATCATAATCTCATGATGACCATATGGATCATATTAGATGGTTCATGGAAATGGCTTAGAATTGATATGAGAGAGAGAGAGAGAATTGTATAATCAGGCTCAAAATTGGAGTATGAGAGAAGTGCATAATCGGGCTCAAAATTGGAAATACTCCATCTAGTTGTAAATTATAATAGAAAGTGTTCAAAAAACTTGTAAAGTGTTCAAGTTTATGTATGGAAAAATTTGCTCAGTTGCACATCTTTCGATAAATCTAAAAATTGCACGCTTTAAATTCAATCGTATTTAAATCTATCTTCTTCTTACCTTTAATAGCTAATTTATTTTACTTTCCTCAATGTACAGTGTTAAAGCATGATATTCAGTCTTCTCAAAAAAAATTCTATCATTAAATTGCTTGGTGTCTACTTATCATAAAGGGTTTGCCAAACCTTACAAGATAGCTTGTTTACCATATGCAATCTATTTTTAATTGAATTGATAGCTAGAATCATCTCCAAGAAAAAATTAATAAGATGTGCATTTTTCAGTTTATAAAATGTAAGTGATTATCGTATTATCACATTTTGTAGTGTCATTGACCACGTGCAATCCATGTGCCCACTCTAGTACTTTATAATATCATCATCCTCGTTAGAGTCTTTTTCCAACTAATTGGGGTCGTCTACACGAATCCTGGTTCATCATTCTGTTCTATTAAGGGCCATACCTGTAGTGAGGCTATAGGTCCCTGAATTTTTCTCACTACTTCCAACCATATCCTTTAGGGCCTACCCCTTTTTCTTTTTGAGCTTTCCACTTGAATTAACTCGAACCTTATCAAAAGTGCTGGATAAAAGATACATTATTCTTTTGAATTGACTCTCTCAAGATTCAAAAAAATAAAACTTCTTTTTGAAATAATATACCCAATGTATATCACAAAAGGGGGGGAAACTTGACATACCAGAGCTTTGAGGGTATGGAGAGGGAGTATGTAGTAAATAGAGAATGTAAGAGAGATAGAGAGCACTTGGTTGAAAGAGAGATCATAAGAGCGATAGACAGCACCTGGTTGAAAGAGAGTGATTTTTCTAGGTGATGAGTTGAGTTTATATGAGGAATGAATGGATACCTTGAAAAAGTGCATCCGTGGAATGTGGTGGTCCCCATTGGAAGCCACCGGTCCTATTGGCTCATGTGGTGGTCCCCATTGGATGCCACTGGTCCTATTGGCTCGATGGGACAGCAACCCTTCCTTTAATTATGGTTTAAAGTATGAACTCATAAACCACAACCATTCTAAACAATCAAATATTTTCACATAGCATTCAAAAATAAGTGGGGATTCATATTCAACCATTTGCACTTGATGCACATGTAAGAGAGCATATGATGCGACTCTTTTTGGAAATTGTTACTACATTACTCTCTGAAACTTTTTAAGTACCAAAAATCCTTTCCTTTTTTAGAATACCCACTGGTCCGAATGAACATGATCTTTCAATAGAAGGGATTGTATATTGTGAGACCATTTATCTTTCTTACAGGGAGGTCACAATTACTCCTAGCCATTAGATGTCAAATTGGATGGCTGGGGGTTGTCACGAAATTCGAGAAATCTTTTTTTAAACTTTATAAGTCTAGTCAATGACATGTTCACAACCACCACCCGATTTGAAATTTTAAGGACAAAAGTTATCGTGACCTCCTTATGCTAAAAGTAAATGGACTCTTTATATACTTGTCCTTAATAGAATATTAAATAAATTCAAATTTTTTACCAAATACCAAATTGTATAAAATAAAAAACCTTTGTACTAATAAATATTTAATCAAATGATTTTGAAATACCAATCATTATAAAATTAATTTAAATAACTTAAAATCCAATTATTTTGAAATAAGTTCATTTTTCATTTGTGGGGTCTTGAATTCTTTGAATTTTTGAGTGGCCATTCTTTTAATGAAGGTGGCGCATACCCATCACCATTTATATTTTCTCTTGCGCGTAGAAATTTTTAGGGTGCAAATGCGGGTGTTTAATATAATATAAATCTTTTTGTACTTTATTACTGAAGAAAATGTTCATTTTTCCTATGGGTACATGATATTCTATTTGGCTTGACATATTAGTTTTTTATTTATATCTTTCAGTGTACATGATACTCTATTTGGATGCTCATGCTTCAAGTGAAAGTTAACAGGTCCCTCGAGCATCTGCTAGTGCTGTGGCATTTGGCATAGGTCTGTTTTCCGAAAGGGGAAGTCTTGGGCCAGGACGCCATCGTGCCTTTGTAGTTACAAGTGAGAGTCGGGCTAGTGACATTCATCTGAGATTCTATGATACTTGTACAACATACAAGGTGAGGATATCAAATCATTCAGTTGGGTGATGAAATTTTTGGATCTAAAACTGATGAGTTTGTAATTTCATTCAGTTTCAAAGTTTAGATGCAGCATTAATTGATTTGGTCATTTTGTTTTCAAAGTTGTAAATATGGTCTTATTAATTGAGTGCCAACTACCTCTTGACTTTTAAAAGTTTTTGAACATGGGCAGGCCATTGCTGCATGAAATGGGTATTAGTGCATCTCTACGTTCATGCAGGATTTAAATTATTTCAGTGCAAGAAACCTAGTCGTTTTTATGGTTCAGAAATGTTTGCTCCTTCATCTGTTGAATGGAAGGATGACATACACAGCCATCTTGTTTGAGGTTTTCCTATTCATTTTCAAAATAAAAATAAATAGTCTGATCAATGGAGTAACGTTTGGAACTTATGACCTTGAGACTAATTTCCTTGAGCTTGCGTGGAAATCTTTATAAAGGATTCCAGTTTAGTTTATTCGTCTTATGGTGGCGTTTTCCTTATATGTTGTCACGTATTTTTATTTTTATTTTTTATTTTGTATTTTTAATTTCTTGGCATTGGAATAGCAATACAGAGAAAGTCAGGAGCCTTCTGTGCAGAAGCTTAAAGAACCTACTTTGTTGGAGGTTTCCTCTGCCTTAAAGAAACGCTACCACCTAAACTTCACCGTACAGGATATTTGTTCCCTTTGGTTTCTCTGTAAGCAGGTAAGTTGCGAATGTAGCACCATTTTAATGTTCCTTTGAACTTGCTGGGGAAGGCATGGTTTAATTCTGCCCTATCAACTTTCGTATGTAGCACCATCTTAATGTTCCATTAAGATCTTGATGTCTCAGAACTTGCTGGGGAACGCATGGTTTATTTTATTTTTTCTTCTGAGAATGAATTAAAGAAATTGGGGAAGTCCCAGAAAACCTGCTTTTGCATTCCTTTGAAATAAATTAATCCTCCTGCACAAAAATGGTTGAAATTCTTTTGTCTTATGTAGCAAGTGTTTCTAACCACAAAATAATAAAGTGAAAATTGCAGGAAGCTTCTCTGCTTGACAAAACTGATCAAGCTTGTGCCCTTTTCAGCCCCACTGAGGTGAGATGAATTTTACACCTGTAAGGTAGATGTTTGGTATTTGTTGTTTTTATTGCATTATTGTTGTTGGATTAGTAATCCTGAACATGCCCTGACTGGGTTGTTGAACGCTTGACATATTTAGGTTGCATTACTTGAGTGGACAGATGATCTGGAGATATTCATATTGAAGGGTTATGGTAAATCACTGAACTATCGCATGGGAGTACCATTGCTCCGGGATGTTTTCTATTCCATGGAACAAGCCATTGTGGCTAGGGAAGGTATGGAGAATTTGAAAAAGAGGCCCTCCTCAATTTATGATATGTTCTAATTTTTTTAACTTTTTTATTACTGAGGATTTTGCATCATTTCCACTTAGGTCCAACAAAGTTTATCTTATTCTTGGAAACCGAAAGCTTATTTAATACTAAGATTTCGGTTGGCGTCGGTCAGTTCAGGAGTGCAGTAATTTAATGCACCACATGCGCAAATAGATTGATGATAGCAGGGTGTGCTTTCTATTGTATGTTTGAAAGTTGCGGACACATTAAATACTTACTGGAATAGACACATTGTGAACTTATGGCCATAGCAATAGTATGCACAAGCATCTAAGGCATTTAGAGGAATCTGCTTATATAGAAATAATTGCTCTTGGTAGCAAGCTACTGAAATGCATACTGGATGGCTAGAACCAAACCTTCTTTGATGATCTTGATATTCAAAATATTGGGCAAGGAGAACTCACTGTAAACAAGAGATTCTTAGTGTTCTTTTACTTACAGTCGCCTACATCTTGTGAGTACCTATTCAAAGCAGGAAAGTATCTTTAGGTACTAAAACAAGATCAGTGCACAAATGCAAGCACATAGAAACTTGGCAAGTGGACTAATAAATACATATTTCCTTTATACAAAAGTCTGGACCTGGAGCCTGCCCCAAATGTGACATCTGAGTTTTGGACTCATGCCTGTTGATGAAGGGACTCCAAGCTCCTTGTGGGAGGAGGATTCTGCATCACAACATTCTCCAATGTGTTATGTAACACAGTGTTTGGTTATAGTTATGACATGAAATCAGGTTGAGTTGGATAACTCAACATCCCCTGTAACTCTCTTCCCTTTAGATTCTTTGATATCTTCTTGCCCCTAACTTCCCTTTAAACTCTTTGTTGGTTCAGTTGTTGAACTAAGTTTCCTCTTTCAACGTCTTTCCTGGAAACGCGCTTGGACATTCAATTTGGGACTTGTGCTGTTATGCCCCAGTCCCAATCTTTTCACCATTTTCCTTTACTTATTTCGGTATCAAATTCTACAAGCAGATTGTGGATTCTTTGAGTCATCTTCTTGCTCACATCATTTCTGATGATCTTCAAAGTTTCTCTTGAGTGAGGGTCTTCTCTTGAAATCGTGATGATGATGGGTGCTTGGGACATATCATAGTTACCCAAATCTCTCACCGAAGGTACGATTCCGACTCAAAACCCCGATTCGATGATTTCGATTAGGACTCTTTACAGAAATCTAGAATCTCAATTCCTCATTCTTAGGAATCTTGATTCCAGCACTAATAGAATCTCGTTTCCAATATTTACTGATTCTCGATTCGGCAATTGGTGAATCTCAATTCTCCTCTTGTTGAAAATAGTTTCCACATTTATCGGAATTCTATCACTCCCCTCCCTTTTTTTTTTTCCTTTTTATGAGATGCGATGTTTAGAAGTTTTCAAGACATCAAACTACTAGAGCTAGACACTCTAGTCTCAAGTTACAAGATGTAGTCATCATTTTTGGCATGAAATCACCAATAGAAACCAAAGTGGTGGTCCATATTCTCTACTTAATTATTAATTATGCATTGTATTGATCCAATGGAGAGATTGCAACTCCAAGATATAATAAATAATGTAATACAAATAATGTAAACATATATGTATGGCATGTTGGTCAATGAATGGCATTGAGTCATGTATTGTTTCCCTCTCAGTTCCCTCTCGATTCATGTTTGAAATCTCGATTCTATTAATGAATGGATCTCGATTCCATAGCAGTCGATTCTAACTAGGTTGGAAATTCGATTCCAAAGAGCTAGGAATCTCAATTCCATCTATGTAGGGATCGAGATTCTATTTTAATTGAGTCTCAATTTTTAAAAATAAGAATCTCATCCCCTACAATTCCTCTTGTATGGATGTCGATTCCAAAAGCAGGAATCTTCCAACCGGCGATTCTGGGCTTCTGATTTTAAAATGATTCGGTTTCCGAATCGCTTCGGATAACTATGGGACAAATTGTTGTAGGCAAATATTTACTAGAATGAAGATTTTGGATTGCAATGGATGGTGCTGATCAAATTGCTGATAAAAAAACATCTCCCATGATGGAGTTGCTCATATTTTGTGCCAGGTGGTTGCGATAGAGAATTTATTGTGTTCTCATTAATATGCAGTTAAAAACCCTAAGACAAGTGCGGTCCTATAACCTGGAGACTAGCTTGCTTGTGCACACGTAACAAGCAAACTGAAAGCAACAAAAAAATGGCCAGATTACTATTGGGCATAGGGTGGTTGTATTAGATCTCTGTTTATGTATTTCCTATCACTTCAGCAGTGGATACATTGGCTGTTCCTTACTAGGATGTATTATACTGTTGACTCTGCATTGTCTGTTCAATGACCACATCTTGAAAAGAAACCAAATATTGAGTGAAAAATAGCACTTGGATTAATTGTGGCAATAATAATCCTTGGATTTTTTTTTTTTTGCTTTTGTAAAACAGCTCTCCTTTTTGAGTCATCTCCCTGATAATGTAGTATTTCCTTTTACAGAGAATTGTCCTTTGGGCACTTATGAAAAAGCAAGACTAAGATTTGCTCATGCGGAGACTGTGATACCATTCACATGTCTGCTTGGACTATTTCTAGAAGGCTTAGGTGAGTTAAGTGAGAAATATTTTATAATCCAGCAAACCATGGGGAAACCCTTATTCATTGGTTCATTCCCAAGATGGAGATGAAGAGAGGGTGGTACCACTAGAAAAGGGCATGAGATCCAATGTTCAGGACCCCTCTTTCTTCCTCACTTCCCCATCATTTCAATGGACAATGATGACTTAGTGGACTCTGATTTTCCAAAGTCTATTGGATTATGGTTTGATTTTCCTAAATAATTTTGTCATCTGGAATGCCCCACCTTTTTCTATTGCCTGTCAAAAATAGGATTTTGTAACATTGATATTACTCTAGTTCTTCTCATGATATTATTACATGTTGGGTTTTTCCTAGAGTTTGAGAAAATACAGAAAGAGGAGCCATTGGAGCTACCTCCAAAACCTCCCAAAGAAAGAAAATGGAGGGGAAGCATAGTTGCGCCATTTGCCGGAAACAACATGCTTGTGCTGTATGAGTGTAAAGGCAACAGTTCTCAAAGCACAAGAGAATTTGTCGACAGCAGTGGCAAGTATTTTGTGCAAGTTTTGCACAATGAGAAACCAACTTTGATGCCGGTACTTATTCAAATAATAATTAATAAGAAATCTGCTATGTTCTCTTTTTTTTCTTGTAAATTATGTGATCGTTATGTGTTTCTGATCTGCCCTTTTAGGTTCTAGCATGGTGTAATTGAGTTGCATTTGAACATGAAGATTGGTTTTTAATGAGTTAGTACTGTGATTAAGAAATAGCCGGTTCGACTTGGTACTGGCTTAGTCAAACCGGAATGGAGGGTACAGGTCCAAGTCTTGCATGGAATTGGGCAAGTCCCATGGTACCCTTTTTTCAAGGTAAAAGTTTTTTGAAATATTTTTGTTTTAGCTCGATTTTAGAAGTGTTTTGATTGATTATTCATCTAAGGCTAGAATTAGCCATGTTTCGATCGATTTTCAATTTGTTCCTATTAATCCCGATCACAGTAATATTTGTTGAGTTTTGACTTTGGCAGAGATTTATTTTACGGAAAATCATCATTTTTTTCATCTGTGGCCTCTCTATTGAACCTCCATAGCAAGTTGTTTCATCAATTGCAAAATAAAAGAAATTAAGAACCCAAATTTTGTGCTTGTTTGAATCCAAAATCGATAGTCTTTGATTTCTCTTCTCATTTTTAAACCATGGTCCTGAAAAATTGTCTCAAATTGTTTCTAACACATCGATGTACAAAGAGGTCTTAACAAACGTTTTTGAATAAAAACCAAAAATATTGAAAATTGATTTTTTGTTATTTTTTTCTTCCATCTATCCTTCCAAAGGTTTTTTGATTTGAATGTTTTGATTTTAACTTTGATTTATACATCATATATCAGATCATTTTTTTTATTTCGAATACTTGGTCTTATGTATTTTTCTATATTTTTACGTTTGTTTTCTTAGAAAATGTTCCTTGGTATAATTTGTTCTTGTCTTATGTAGGTTTAGATGAGTTTTAATAATCTTTGTATTCCTTTTTGTGTGATTTAGGGAATACCTAAAAAAATTCAAGGAAATCAATTTTTTTGCAATACTTTTTAATTTAATTTAATTTAATTTTCTTGTAGGTTCTCTTATGTGTGGTTTAGACAATTGTTAGTAATATATGCCTTGATTTTATTTCATGAAGAATTCAAAAAAATTAGAAATTTTATGTGTGTGTGTTGTTTCTGGTTGTGGAGGTGGGGGTGGGTATGTTCTTGGTTGTTGCATGGGATTTTAGATATATTTATTTATTTTTTTTTTGTCGATTAGGGCTTCCCTGAAAATGTTAGAGGAAATCTGAATTTTGTATAAATATTGTGATTCATTTTTTTTTCTAATCTCTCTTATTAGGGTGTAGTTATTTTTCTAATAATATTTTTAGTTGTCTTTTGTTTAGTTTTTTCTTGGATAACTTTGAGACAATCTGAAATTTTCAATTAATATTATGTTATTTTGTGGTTAGTTGGGGTTAAGATTTTATTTTTATTGTATTTTTGTTGGGTTTTAGATTTTATTTTTTTCTTTTTATTCTTATTTTTTTGAGATTTACTGCATTTTAGGCTGTGTGGTACTCAAATGGGAACGATATTCACACCTTTTTGGAGAATTTGGTCAAAATGCGTAACAAATTCGTCAATTTTTTGTTATAAATCAACTTATTTTGATTTAAAATTTTAAATTTTTTTCAAAATTTTTGTTAGCTAGATGTGGCCGGAAGGGTTGACCAATCCTAGTCAACTGGTTCACCGGGTCGACCAGGAACCAGTGGGTGACTGGTTCGGCCACTTGATCTGGTTTTTTAAACAGTAATTTAGTATGTGAATTTAGTTGTATGGTGATGAGGTGCTAATGAGAACTGATGTGGTGATTTATGGCCAGGGCTGTGGGAATAACTACTTGTGTCCTTTTGACATTTTCAAGGTACGTCTGTTCATTTTCAGAATGAATATTCGTACAAACTGGTCATTCCTTTTTTCACAAATACATGTTCATGTTGTTTCAGGAGAAAGTTGTTGATCCCCATCTTAAGCATAGCTTCAATTTGATCTGCAATGCAAGGGTGGAGACAACAGAAATCTGTTCCATTGCATGTAAATTCATAAGGTTTTTCAGTAGGCTCGTCTTTCTCAAGGGGGATGAAAAATCAAAGTCCGGTGAGCGAGCAGAGCTGTAACATGTTCTCAAAAAACGTGAGCCCCATCAAAGTTTGGCAGTTTTGACTTAAATGGTTTCCTTTATTCTCTCACATGAGCCTGTTTGCAATGGACCTTGGTTTCATCTCCCTCCTAGAGAAACAGAAGGGCCTAATAGACTGATCTGTGTGCTTGTATCACTCTGGGAATTGAATGGCATTTCCCAATATCACTGTAAAAGTTTAGTCATATAATTCGAGTTTGGTGCATGAACAATTATGTGTGTCCATTGATTTGGTTTCTTAAAATAAAATTTTGGCTCTCTACAAATTAGAATTTCTATGTTATTTCGATTAACCAGGTTTTGATATAATCAAAGTTTGACATAATAAGTTTTTATTCAAAATTTGAGTTTATTAATATATGGAGCTATTCAAAAAAATAAATAAATAAATTTAAAAATATAACAAAACATGATTGAAAAAAAAAAAAAAAAAAAAAACAATAGAAAAAGAAAAAAAAAAAGAAAAACAAACACACGGTGACTGTCTCACTTGAAAATACCTCAAACGATTATGAAGCCATTAAGGTAAAAGACCGCTACCGAAAATCTTCCAATCTACAAATTAGAGGCCATGTGCTCCGCTTGTCGAAATCTGGTGTCCAAATCCTGTATGACACGCGTCACTACTAAATGCCAACACGTATAAAGATTGGTGTAATTCGAGGACAAGCGGCATTATTTTTTTTTGTTAAGGCTTGGGATTTAAAATTACAATATTATCCCTATTCCTACTCGAATATGTTTGCTAACGAGGGTATATCTCGGGCCGACATTTTGAAACTCGCTAAAACAATGTATTTGCCGGCCGACATTTGAAACTCGCTAAAAAGAATATATCCGTGGGGCCGACATTTTCGAGAATCGAGTGCCAACACGTGGGGGGGGTCGGTGATCTCGTGCTATTAATTCACACATAAATGTAGGATTAGGGACTGAAATTTCGTGTTACATTGGGGTGGGGAATTCATAAATTTTGTCACCCCCTCTCTGTTTAGGGCATGCAGATTTCGGACCGAAATTTCGTTTTAGTGACGCCACATTGATTGCGGCGTCACTGGGGGCACTTTAGTAATTTTTCGTTTTGGTGCATATAAACTTGTGTGCTGCTTGTGGTTCAACAATGAGGAGTAGAGATCCATGGATGTGCAGGAGAGAGAATGTGAAGAAGAGAGGAGAGAAATGGATTTGGAGGAGAGAGAAAGTGAAGAGGAAACAAGAGAGAGGGAGAGGGAGAGGGAGAGAGAGAGAGAAATGGCACAAGAAAGCAAAGAAATGAAACGAGCAGTGAGAGAAATAGAAGAAAATGAGGAGGCGGCGGTGGCAGCGACCGGGACCGAAGCAATTGAGTCGAGTGGAGGTGGTGGTGGTGGTGGTGGGCTCATCAATCAGATAATGTCTCACTTGCCCGTCTCTCTTTCCAGTAAGAAAACCTCTCTTTCACTCACACTCTCTCTCCCATTGTGTTAATGTTACTGTATATTTTACTAGGCAATGCGGAAGAAGCGGCGCCGGACACAGATGAGGCATTGCTTCTCATCTCCATTGTACATGACTAGGCTCATCTCCTTTCTTTCCTCCCTCCTTATTTTTCTTCTAGCAGATTTACAGAACAAGATTCATGCAGTCGATCTTAACTGCTCATGATGATTTTTCCTCATTTTTTACACTTCTTTTGGTTGGGTCCCGTATTTTTCTTGGTGTTATTTTAATGGGCCTGCATTGATGCTGTTTATTGGATTTCACATTTATGTATATATTCATTTTGGGAGGATATGGATGTAACTGACAAAAGAATTTCTCTGTATTTTTGACACGGTAGCGATTATGCAAATCTAAGGTGTCGTGCTCTCGATGGATTTCCAGTGGATAACCATTCATATATATCAGCTCTCGCATTTACCAGACATTTATAGGTACTAATATTAAGCAATAAGAAGATTGAGGGTTTGTATTTATTTATTTATTTTGTTTGTTTGGGGTAAATCAGAGGGGGGAGTAGCCCCCCCTACCCGTTTTTCACGATCTATATATTTGGAAGTGAGTTCATGTCGGTTTGTTTGTGCCTGAGATATCGTAAAAAATGATACCTTCCAATAACGAATTCACACCGTGTTTGGTGAAATTTGATATGTAAACATTTATAAACTCATAATCAACTTTTTTTAGGTATCATTGTTGGAAGGTAGTGGATTTCTTCATTAAAATAATGATGGAGAGATGTGATCGAATTTAAGATAGTGGATTTCTAGGGTGGTGTGTTTTTTATATTTGTTTTATTTCATGTGCTTGATTTATAGTTCTATTCATATATTTTGTATTTAGTCCATTACGTACATAATTTTGAGTGAGATTTGGGTATTCGAATTTTTCAATGATTCCGCAAGCTAAGATTACCGAGAACCCCGCAATAAACATAGAGAGATGCTCTCTTTGGTATTTTATCTCACTTATTTGTCTTGGGTTAATGGATGAAAATACCCCGATTCCAAGTCCAAAATCAGCTTTTTCTACTGAAAATTTTGAACTTGATGTGGACTTAAACCAGCAAAGGTATTTTGATGAGCCAGATGATAAAATTATTACTACTTGTTCCGGTTCCAAATCTAGTACATGTGATTCTTCATCAAAATAAAGTTGAATAAGAGGTATTTTTTATAATTTGGTGCCACTTGTTTCATGGGATAAACCATCAAAATACCTAAACGTCACCGTGGTTCCACAAATTTTGAGGATGACAATTGAATGGAATTTTCCAAGGATTTGGGTAGATTTGGATTTTTGGTTGCATTTTGGATGCAAATTAAGAAACGTATCATATTGATGCTGAATTGCCATCTAAATAAAACATTAATAGGATTTCAATTTTTCGGCTTATCGGGCTTATCGACAAATCCACACCTTCTCTCTCAGACGCTGCACCCATAACCCTCTCTCTCTCTCTCTCTCTCTCATATGGACAGTTATCTTTTCAACTAATTTTTTTTTCTTCTTTTGTCCCATTCTCTGTGAGTTTCACGTTTCGCAAAGCCGTCTCATTATCTCTTAAGTCTCACGTCTCACTATCTCTTGAGTCTCACGTCTCACAAGGCCATTAATATCATATGGGTCATTAATATCATGCTTTGTAGAACCTTTTGGCTCTATGGTTTTTTTGGGTGTAGTTGGCATGCGGACGCCTCCTTAGGTGTGGTACGGTGTTTTTCAAAATTTTATCATCGTAGATATAGTACGGTATTTTTCAAATTATATCGTGGTATATACTTTTGATCGAAAATGTTAGGATTTTTTTTCATCCATGTGTGTTGGATTTTAAATGATCATCGTTAAATTTAGGATAAATGATCAACGTTAAATTTGGCACGAATCTTGAAAAAATTTATTGGATACAAAATTTGATTTTTTTAAAAATCCGTGTCAAATTTAATGGTGATCTTTTAGGGTCTTACACACATAAATGAGTGAGAGAAAGTTTTATAGGATTATTTTTCAAAATGTTATTAAGATTATTTCAAAATCTATTTTTATATCTACTTATAAAATTTTAAATTTCAAAAATGGTTAAAATAGATTTATAAACTTATGAAAATCTTGAAAATGGACGGTGTAGATGATATGTTGTAAAATACATTATTTATGATATTAAATTTTTTTTATTTTTTATAGTCATACATCTCGATGTCGAGATGATCAATCAAAGGATTTTTCAACATTAAAACTACCTTTTTCGATGGATTTTTGAGGGGCATTTGTAGTTCTGCATTAGAAGGTATATAAACTTTTTCTTTTTTTTTATGTATATTTTTGTTGTCTGACGTCTCACAAGGGCCATTAATATCATACTTTGTTGAACGCTGCTCTTCCCGTCTTTCTATGTTTTGTTTTGTTTTTTGTTTTTTGTTTTTTTTCTTCAGACCCATCGGTAACATACCCTAAGTTCTAAGTTAATTCATCTTTTCCTTGATTTTCTTCTTACCCCCATGGCATCATCGGACATGGTTCAACCCATTATTGTCAAGCTGAATGGGTCAAACTATAATAATTGGTTGTATTTGATGTTTAGTTTTCTTAAAGAAAGGTGCTCTAAAAATATGTGATGGGCATGCTTTTCCCTACAAGTTCTATCTTCTCTCTTATCCAACCGTTCATTTTAAATTGAGGGCTGAGATTGCTCCAATCATAATGCCACGTATTTATATTATTTTATTTTTAATTTTTTTTTATAAACTATTTTGACACCAAATTTTGGACGTTTATTCTCTTTCTATTAAACTCGCACTAACGAAAATTATAAAAAGAATATTTTTAATAAAATAAAATGATCTAAATACCTTTGAAAGTTTCAAAAGGTATTTTGGTCATTATATTTGATCGAAAAATTATTTTTAATATTTTGTATAGGTACGTCCCAATGAGAATATGGCATGTATTAATTTTCATATTCATACAATTTGTATAAAATAAAATAAAAATAAATATTTTGATATGTCGGATCTAAGATCAAACAGTGAGTGGCTCTCTTGATCAAAATTGGATGGCTGGATGGTAGGGGGAGGATAGAACTTCTATGTTGTTGGGGAAGCATTGAAACTTTTCGCATATGTAATTGGTGTAAAACAATGCCTTAAAGCATTAGAAAATTTACGAGAAGATGAACTTGAATATAAACTGGATGAGTGGGAAGTTAATAATCATAAGGTTCGATTGTCAATTTTGTCATTTCCTCTATAAGTATGCAATTGGGAAAATTTGAGACAGCTAAAGTTGAAATGGACAGACGAAACTGGCATCAAAGGGACAATCAATTTCGGATTTTCACTCTAAAATCACTATTTATTTGGGATCAATTGGCACTTATGGAACCTCAGTGGATAGCTGATGCTGAGATCTATTATAAATATCGTGATGAATCTCATTTTGTACAGTTTCTGATGGCATTACAAGATGAATTTGAATCAGTACGAGATTATATTTTTTACCAGACTCCTCTTCTGACTATTGATGCAATATTTGTTGAACTCAAGGTAGAAGAAATGCATAAAGGAACTGGTGATATCTCCATTGATGTGAGTGACTATGTTTTAGCTCCTCCTCTTCACAATGCTACCTCCAATTTGGAATGAAGTCTTCTATTGCAACTAGAAAACCCTTCAATGATATGTCTCAAGTCCAATGCAAGTATTGCAAAGGACTTGGGCATATAAATTACAACTTGCCTATTAAACTCAAGAAGAAGGTTCCTTCACATGGTTTTAGAGCAGCACATGCTTTTGCAACTCCTTGATGTACTCTTTCAACTCAGACCTCCACATCTGTCACATGTCTTACTATATAAGATGTCTAGGAAATGATCAAACAAGTTATCTATGGTGTAACTCACTGATTTGTTGCGGCTTCTACCCTATCTCATGCTTCAGGTAACCAAACACATATTTTTCTATTTGGTATATTGATTCTGGTGTATCAAATCATATGGCATTTATTCAACGTCTCTTATATTCTCCTATTTCTGTTAACAATCATTCTCCCATTTGCACTGCTAATAACTCTATGATGTCGGTAAGTCATGGTGGTACTGTTAAAACCTTTAATTTCTTGTTTCAATGTAAACTTGGTTCCCACTCTTTCCATGAATTTGATTTCTGCTGCTCAGTTAGATGAACAAGGTTATACATCTTGTTTTCCTCATCTGGTTGTATTGTGCCGGATCACTTAAAGGAGAAGCAAGTTGGAACAAGCCATAAATGTGGTCATTTATTTGTCTTGGAATACCTACATATTCCTTGCTAACCTGGTGCTTCACATTTTGTTGATGCTTCCTCAACTGATCGTCCTACATCGGTTTTCTGTCTTTGGCATAGCATGTTAGGACATATTTCTTTTTGTCGTTTCAAGTTTTTTATATTTTTGGAAAATTAGGGTTAGTACATATTGATAGTTTTCATAATTGTGGTATTTGTAAATTGACAAAACATATTGCACTGCCTTTCTCTGCTAGAGACTCTTACCACCTCAACCTTTGAACTTATACATTTTGATGTGTGGGGCGCTGCCCGTATTCCTTCAATGGGTGCTGTTCGCTACTATATGTGTTTTATTGACGATTTTTCTCTATATATTTAGATTTATTTGTTACACAATAGATTTGATTTGTGTCAAGCTTATTGTGAGTTTTCCATTATGGTTAAAACTCAGTATTTCAAAAATATTAAAATATTTCATTGACTTTGGTGGGGAATATTACTCTAAATCATTTAAAAGTCTTTTGACGTCTCATGGAACCATTGCGTAGTTATTTTTCCATGAGATACCAAATTATAGAAATTATAAGAACCCTTCTTCTCTCCTCCTTTGTTCCAAAAGTATTTTGGGGAGAGGTTGTTCATATCTCTACATATATCATCAATATGATTCCTTTTTTTATTGTATGGGGTATATCTCTTTATGAGCATTGTACTCTTCTCCTCCTAACTATTATTATTTTGCGTCTTCGTTTTAACGTGTTTTGTTCTTCTTCCACAAGTTAAACAAAATAAGTTTGTCCATTTTTTTAGGTTATGATTTTCAGCAAAAAGATTTTCAATGTTATGATCCTCTTTCATGAAAGCTTCGTATCTGTCGTCATGTAGCCTTTTGGGAACACCTTCCACTTTATTATCTTCTTAAGTTTCGTCCTACAATCCTTTCATCAACTAATTCAATTCAATTCTTTGATATATTTTATGAACATTTAGAGACTATTGAAAGTCCAAACACTGGATCACTTGTTTCCCTTCTAGACACTCAAAAAATTTAATCTATTGTTTCAATACCAACAGTGGCTGGTCCTGAATATGTCTCTCCTGAAAGTGATCCCACTCGTCAACATAAGCGACGTTACCCTAAGCGCTCACATTTTGCAACCAAATATCTTCAAGATTTCCATTGTTTCTTATCATTAGTTCTTGCATTTCATGAGCTTCAATCTTATCGTGGTGCTTTTTCGGATCCAAAATGGAAGCAAGTTACGGAAGATGAGTACATAAAACTAATACTTGAGATCTTGTTGATCTTCCTCCTGGCAAATATGTAATTGTATGCAGATGGGTCTATAAAGTTAAAATCTGCCCTGATGGATTCGTTGATCGATATAAATCTCACTTAGTGGCAAAAATATTTACTCAAGAATATGG